CAGATAACTATATTTTATTACATTATGCATTTGAAGTTTCTATGCTCTTTTGTAACAGTGAACATTTTAATAGACAAATAAAATTAATTTATATATATCTTATATAAAAGTTATTAGAAATAAAATAAAAACTTGAAATCTATAATAATAGACTAAATTTAATTAAAAAATCACTGGTTATATATTTAAAAAGTTTACTATCATTTTACTAAGTAACTTATAGTAAATAATTGAAAATAATATTTAATTTGGAATTATATTATTAATTAAATTTTCTTTATAGTAATACAAAAACATATATAAGTTTAAATTATTTTAATTTATTAATTTGACTATTTTTTAGGGAAACAGTGATTATTTTTGGAAAATTAATATTAATATTCAATAAATTATCTTTGTTATATAACATCTTCAACTCATATAGCTATGAAAGAGACTTAATATATATAGTATATATACTTCTTAATAAGTACTTTAAAAGTTGTAGTTCTTGGTTAATGCAAACTATCAAATCTAAGAACACAAGTGTTAAGTAAAGTGCAACTCTTTAGTCTCTTAATAGATACTTTAAGAAAATTCGGTTGATTTAAGTTATCAAATCTAGAGGTATTAATATCAAACTGAATTTAATTTTTACATATTATAAATAATATTAAACTAAGCTAGAACTTCAAAAAATATCAAACTGATATTGAAATTGTATCGAAATAGTACCAATCTATAGTAAATTTAATATATGGATTGTAATATATTCATATAAATTTATAGTAAAATTAAATATCAAACTAATATTGAACTAGTATCAAAATGGTATTATTAGAAACCCTAAACTAGGCACTTACATTATATATTAGTATCCATATTGGCAATCTTTTCTAAGATTTTTTACTTTATATTAATATATTATATAACAAAAACTGCTATACTAGAGAGAAATATAAATATTTATTGGAGTTAGATCAAAAGTCTTTTTTATACAACTTTTTATACTTCAATTTATTTTTATCAAAAAAATCAAAGGTTCCATTTTAATATAATCTAATTAAATTTAATTAGAATCTGAATGTTTAATTACAACATTTATAGTAAAACTAATAAATTCACAATAAAAAATAAATTTTATATATTTTGCTTACTATAAATATTAAATTAAAATCATATATTTGAAATTTTGAAAGCATTATCTATTGTATTATTGATTTATAGGTTTAATAAATTTTTATTTATTTGTTTTATTATAAATTTTTTTTTTATAGCAAATAAGTATAAAATACAAGACTTTATTGATTAAGTATTAATTTTATCATTATATTAAATATTTATTTAAGTTAATACTAGCCTATTACATGTAAAATTTTTAAAACAATATTGTATCAAGAAAGTGATATTATATTAAAAGTAATTTAAATAATTAAATTAATAAAGAAAAAATAAAATTTTTAATAATTGGATTTTGAATATATTATTTGAATTTATAAAACTATAATGGTAGCTTTTTTGATTAAAAATTTGTTGATTGAGTTTTTAATATTGTTGCTTGGATTTGTAGAACCATATAATAACTGATTAAGGGCTGAATAAGACATATAAAAAGTTCAATATTTTTATATGAATATATTGTTATACTAATTAGAAAAACTGTTGAAGTATTGGGATATAAAGTTATTATTATTATTGTTACAAACAGGTTTGAGCCAGTTTGATTATTATTGTGTTAGGTTATTGATATATAATTAGTTATTGAGTATTGTTAGTATAAAATTTATATATTTTAGTATAGATATTTATAAACTTTTATATATTACAAATTAAGTTTTATGGTGATATATTATTACTAATACATTAGTTGGCTGTATAATGTATTGCAATTAGAATAAATATGTCAGCTCTACTAGAAATAGTAGTATATTGTTAATGATAGAAGAGAGACAATATAATAATAAAAAGAAAAGTATTAAAGAACAGATAGGAGAAATAAGAATAATAGATAGAGGCAGTTAACAATTGTATTCATATGTTAATAAAAGATACCAATACAACTATCTTTAAATAAAGCTTCATGTCTAAAAGGATAATTGGTAAGGTTATAAAAGTTTGTAGTACAATTATTGAAGACAAAAAATCTAAATAACAAGATAATTTCAAAACTAAAATAGACAATTCTCTAGCTTCTTCATATTATTATATAAGTACTGTTTCAGGTTAGTGACAGATTTGCTATTTTGCTATAATAGTATATATTAATCATTTGAAGAAGTAAAACTGATTTTAGTTTTTTAGATTTATTGAATTTTTGTAAAAAATAGGTTGGTGCAATATTGTATATTAAATAGAAAATAGTTGAGAAAATTTGATTGAAACAAGCAAAAAATTCAGTAACTATGTTTAAATGTATTTTTAATAATAAATTTGTAATATTAAAAAATAATATAAAGGTAGTAATGATAATATTTAGATAAAAAGAGATATATAAAAACAAATTTATAAAAGAGAACCATTACAGATCTTTTTCTATACAAATAAAGAACAAACAAGACTTTTAACTTGCTTGACTTTTGTCTAGAAGTTTTATTTCAATGCAATAGTAGATCTTAATATTTTTATATTTTTGAACTTATTATATAATAATAACATATTGAGAAAGTAGAAAATGTTTTTTTAAAAAAAATTTTATTAAAGGAAATTTTCAAATAATTAGTAGTGAATAAATAAGAGTTTTTTTTTATTTAAAAAATTATTTTATAATTTTAAAACTCAAAATATATTTATATAATTTTTTTTTTGTTTTATAATTTTTCAAAATATTAAAATTAAAAATTAAAAATATTTTTATTAAGAAATCAATATAAAATTAATTATATTTTTAAATATATATCTTAAAAATATAATTTATAATTATTTTGTTTTATATTAATTTTTTTTAAATTTAATATTAAATATTTGATATAAAAATTTTTGTGATTTTTTTTAATATGTTATAAGTATTGCTAAGTTTTTTAATTTGAATCATTTATTTAGATTTTTTATATTATTAAAAATTATATTAATTATTTATATAATTAATTTTTTTTACAATAATAATATAATACTAATATTAAAATATATTTATATATTTTATATATTGTAAAAATATTATAAAATCAAAATTAAAATTACTTGAATTATTTTTTTTTTTTAACAATTAAGCCTAATATTATTTTTTAATATAATTGTATCAATTTATTATTAATTAAAAACCAGGTAATAATTTATTTATATACAAATTTAATTTATTAAAACCTAACAATATATTAATAATTAGTATTTTTTTGTTTAAAATTCCATATTAAGCTTAATATAATTTATATTATTGATTTTATTAATTTTGTATTAATCTTATATATCTTTATTAGATTTAAATAAGATAAAATATAATTTTATTTTTATTTTAATTATATTTGACTTGATAGTATTTAAGTTAAGTTAATATTGTTTATTTAATAAAAATAATTTTATTCATATCAAATAGCTTTTGAATTTCATTTTATATAAATAATTTAAATTATATTTTATAAAATATCATGTTAAATTTAGTGTTAATTCTATTGGTTATATTTTCTAAAAGTGCAAATTAATTATTTTGAACATGACATTACAGCAACTACTTGTCATGTTTAAAAAATAATTTTAATCTTTCAAAACATGTTAAGATTAGGAAATTATTTTTTTATAATGATTTATTGTATTATAGGTGGTTAAGAAAGTTATGTCAAATTGAAAAGCAAATAATGATACCTTTAATACTAGAAAGATCTGCACCAATTATTTGCTTATGTTGTTGAAAGCTCAATTCAAAACCTCATATTTTTTTTATAATAAAAACTATAAAATATGAAAAATATAGAAAACAACTAAATTAAAAAGAAATATGATTTTGAAAAAATTTTTATAATGATTAGTCAATAATACTGTCGGGGTATGTATAACAGATGAAGAACGAAACAACATATTTTAATAAAATTCATATGCAAAAAAAAATAAATAGTTTTATATGAAGATCTTAGTGGTTTAATATTTTGTTGCACATTGTTAGAAAAAGTAAATCAGATTAAAAAAATATTTTGCTTGCACGTAAATCAGATTGAATTAATTTATTAATTAATTAAAAAAAACAGCGATTAATTTATTTTTATTTATTTTCAGATTCATACCAGTTTCTTGAAATACATGATATAATAGGATGTTGAATTAAATCTACGCTCGTTAAATTAAAGCAATAACGAATATGATAAAATTTATAAACAAATAATTAATATTCTTATTATAATAAATTAATATGTATGTTTACACGGATAAATATTATATTTACAACAATCCAATCAAGTCGCACAATTTGAATTCACCTTTCTACATTCTCTATGATATTCACCCATTAGAAACAAATTTTCTCGCATAGAATCTATGCATATGATTATAACATTTATTCCTTTTCCAATCCTCATCAGCACTATCCAACATTTCATTATATTCTTTCTGAGTCATCGTCGTGCTTTGTATTGCCGCTCCGTCATCACTCGTAATTTCTACTAAGCTCGCATCTTCTTTCTCTTTTCCTTTGAAACTACTCAGCTGCGGC